TATTCCTAATTTTCATTCTTATCTAGCCAAATGACTAGGCGACCTAGTAAAGGAGTAAAAGATTTAGAATTAGAAAGAGAGAAAAATTTCTCATAGTTATCCCTAAAAATCCGTTTTAGTTAGTGGGATTTAAATTAACTCTTCCCCCCAACACTATAAATGGACCCTTATAGGCTTATAACCCAAACAGTCGTCAGCCTAAGCAACTGTGATATTTCCTCACTCAAACAGTCGCACTGCTTCTTTCTGTTTGTTTCTCGGGAATTCATTTTTTATTTTGCAGGAAGATTATCATGGATCTCGATCTTTCCCCTAAGTTGCCCAAGAAGGTCTATGGTGACATTGGAGGCAGTTACCACTCCTGGTGCCCGCAGGAGTTGCCCATGCTGCGTGAGGGAAACATTGGTGCAGCCAAGCTCGTCCTTGAGACGAACGGATTCGCCCTTCCTCGATACTCCGATTCTTCAAAGGTCGCTTATGTTCTTCAAGGTCATATATTATTTTCAGTCTGCTCAATCTCTTCTGTTTTGTCTGTTTTGATCGGCTTGTCTCGTTGCGCATTGTTTGTTTCTGGTTTTATTCCCCTTCTGTAGACTGTTTCTTGTTTCTGTCTGTTCGTGGATATTGTTATTTGAGATTGCCGATCAGAGACCGTAATTTTTTTTTTATGATTTACTATGCTTATCGCTTTTCCACTGTTCTATGTGAACGATCATGAAATTTTAAATTGATTCCTTTATAAGTGGTGATAAATTTCAATTTCTAAATTGATTCCTATGTAATTGGTGATGAATTTCAATTTCTTAATTGATTCCTATATAATTGGTTATGAAGAAGATTGGCTATGTATAATTTTATCACTGATGCAGTGTTCTATTTGAACGATCAGGAAATTTGTAATTGATTCCAATAATTGGTGATGGATTTCAATTTTTTTGGGATAGTAAAAAGAAAATACCAGAATCAGGAATTGATTCTGAGAAGAAGCAATAACTTGTGGGACACTACTTATGGGTTTCTTTTCTATTGATATTTGATGAGTATGGATGTTGTTTTATCACGAGGAATCCGATTTCTTTGATGTCGTTCCACCTTTAAATGGAATCACACCCATTCCATTTTCCGAAATTAATGCCTTTTCTAAACTTTCATTATCAATTTTGCTTTATTGGACTTTCCTGCAAAGATGTGCTTGATCTCTATTCTAGCCTAACTTTTGGTTATCTATCACATCCTACAGGGAATGGCGTGGCTGGAATTGTCCCTCCTGAACAGGAAGAGAAAGTGATTGAAATTAAGAAGGGTGATGCTATTGCTCTTCCTTTCGGTGTTGTGACATGGTGGTATAACAAGGAGGACACTGAGCTGGTGGTTCTTTTCCTGGGTGAAACTTCTAAGGCCCACAAAGCTGGTCAATTCACTGAATTCTTCTTGACAGGTGCCAATGGCATCTTCACTGGGTTCTCAACTGAGTTTGTGAAGCGAGCATGGGACCTCCCAGATGATGCTGTCAACTCACTTGTTGAACAGCAAAAGGGCAAGGGTATTGTCAAGCTTGATGCCAACTTCAAGATGCCTGAGCCAAAGAAGGAGCACCGCCAAGGAATGGCACTCAACTGCTTGGAAGCTCCATTAGATGTTGACATCAAGAAGGGTGGAAGGGTGGTGGTCTTGAATACCAAGAACCTTCCTTTGGTTGGGCAGGTTGGGTTAGGTGCTGACCTTGTTAGGTTGGATGGAAGTGCCATGTGTTCCCCTGGTTTCTCCTGTGACTCAGCTCTCCAGGTGACATACATTGTCCGGGGCAGTGGCCGTGTTCAAGTTGTTGGTGTTGATGGACGTAGGGTTCTTGAAACCACCGTGAAGGCTGGTTATCTATTCATTGTTCCAAGGTTTTTTGTGGTTTCAAAGATTGCTGACCCCGATGGCATGGAATGGTTCTCCATCATCAGCACTCCTGAGTAAGTCACTGACTTGTTTTATTCCTCATATTCTAATGTTTCCATTTGGATTCTAATTTGAGAAATTATTTGTTTGTCAATTGCAGTCCTATATTCACTCATTTGGCTGGAAGAACTTCAGTCTGGAAGTCTCTGTCTCCTGAGGTGCTTACAGCAGCTTTTGGGGTTGCTCCTGAAGTAGAAAAGCTCTTCCGTTCAAAGAGGACCTCCGATGCCATTTTCTTTCCTCCCAATTAAGGGACTGGAGTCTTCTGTTTTCTAGTTGTTGTTCCAATAAAAGGTTTAGAGAATTTAGTTTCAACTTTTAAGCACTCTGTAGATATTTTATCTACTACCTTCCACGTAGATCAATGTTCCGTTTGGACCAATTTCATAGGGGTTAAAGAGTTGTCAATCGAAGAATTATCATCAATAAAATTTGCTCTTAAGTAATTGTTGTTTTAGAAGACAGATAAATAAAGGGTTATATCCTCGATTCAGTCCCTCAACTTTCATTTTTGAACTAAAACTACTCTTGAACTTCAAAAAGTACTAAAAAAATCCTTGAACTTCAATTTTCGAGATCAATTTCGTCCTTCCGTCGACAAAAGTGCCAGATGGCACGTTAAGTTGCCATGAAATCAATTTTTGTTTGAAATCTTTAATTATGTGGAAAATAACTTAGTCCACATCATTTTAATTAATTTATATATTAAAAAATTTAAAATTCTTTAAATACCCCATCTTCATCTTCCATCACCTCTCGTCTTTCTTTATCCTCAGATGTCTTCTCATCTTGCAACCCAATCAACACCGATCATCCCTCATTACTCCGGTCATCCCTCATTACTCCGGTCATCCCTCATTGCTCCGATCATCTATTACCACTCCAATCACCATCTACTTCTTCCCCAAACCTCCTCTCTAATAGAACTCAAATCTGGTTCCTCGCACAATAATAATAATGACAAATAGATCTGATTCAAAAAATCAATTCCTCTACAAATGTATATCAGATCTGTAAAGAAAACACAACATTCTTTCAATCAACATCGACAGTAACTAGATCTGGAAATTCAAGCAATTAGAAGCAACACAAAACTCTAAAAATCCCATTCAAGCATGATTGCAAGCCAACAAAGAAACATAACAAAAAAACCCAAGCGGGTTCGACTCAAACCCAGGCGCTGGGTTCGGAACCCGGCGCCTAGGTTCGAGGAACCCGCGCCTGGGTTCCATTGAACCCAGGCATGCTGGGTTCGAGGAACCCAAGCGCTGGTGTTGGGTTCCTTCGAGCCCAGTAGGGAGGGGAAGGAGAAAGGAGAGAGAAGGAGAGAAAAAAGGAAAAGGAAAGAAAAAAAAGAAAGAAAAGAAATATTTATTTATTAAATTATATTTTTGTGCTAAATCACAATAGTTTTATAATTAAAAATGCCACATCACTCATTTTATTTCCAGATAATATTTAATATTAATAAAAATTGAATTTGTTAACTGAAAATTTTGCCACGTTAGTAATTAACTGACGGAAGGACAAAATTGGTCCCAAAAATTGAAGTTTAAGGATTTTTTAAGGATTTTTTTAGTACTTTTTGAAGTTTGAGGGTAGTTTTAGTCCAAAAATGAAAGTTGAGGGACTGAATCGGGGATATAACCTAAATAAAAGGTCCACGTTTTTGCAATATTTTAAAAGCTAAAACCTGGCCCAATACATTTTTATTTTGGACTTAATGTCAATCTTCCTAGTCCAACTCCCGAAAAGAAGTGGGTGTTAGAGATCCAACTAAAACACAAATGGATTTAGGGATGGCAATTTGCCTCGTGAGGTTCCACAGAGATCCTTGTCACGGGACGGGGTAGAACAGTGAAAAATATTCCTCTTTGTGGGGCGGGACGGGGAATATTTTTCCCTTGTGAAATTTTTTGGAGAATTTTTCCCATTCCGTGGAGTTTTGCGGGGATCCCTGTCCCCAAAAAAATTTTTTTTTTTAATTTTAATTTAATATA